TGGTCCTAGGGGTCAGCCACACAGAGCAAAAAGCAGGATAAAGGTGGGAGATGGCTCTTGGTGGGGGTGTGGTGAGCAAAAAAATGTCAGTTTCCCCCAATTCAATGCAGTTAAGTTAAAATCTCAAGAGGATTTTCCATGGTACTTGAAGCTGATTTTAAAATTTACATAAACAAGTCTTAGTATAGCTAAAAGAATGTTGTAAAAGAATGACATGGACTTGCCCTACCAGGTGATGAATGTGGGAACCAAACTAATTAACTCAAGTCAAACTATCTCCTTTCTGTTGTTTACTCAGAACAACAGGCCACTGCATACCAAGGACCTTATCACATACCAAGGTGTTAGGTAAGCCCCCTTGTGCACTCAGCCCACATCCTGACCCCCCCCCTTTTTGCACTCACCACTCTACTCTGCACATGCCCCACTTGCGACCTTTATGCCTTCCTTCTCATGTGCTCACCTGAGACAAAGAAGACTCGTCCCTGAGCCAATCAACTCTGAACATGACCACCCTGTACCTGTCAGTTTGGGACAGACATGGTTTACCTACCAATAAGGGGACTGGGTGGGATAGACTAATGGGAGGGAAGTGGGAGGGGTATTAAGGGACTTTCTGGATAGTCTGTAAGGGCTGTTCCCGCTTTTTCTCAAAGGGGCAGCCCAGGCTCTGAGCTTGAATGAGTAAAATTCCTCATGCCTTTACAGCAATGTTCGGACTCTCAGAGTGGTGCTTGAATTGAGTCTGGGGGCTTACAATGAACATATTAGGAAGCTACAGAGATTGAGACAGTGTGATACAGGCACAAAGACAGACAAACTGACCAACAGAAAAGAGTGGAACCTGAAACAGATCAATGCCTACATGGCAGGTGTACAGAGGAAGTGGAGACTGTTCAGTCTAACAAGAAGGACCACCCATATGAAAAAAACTAAGTTAGATTTCCCAAAATCATCACAGATGAAACTAGGAACTTAAATGCAAAACTTTAAATTTTTAGCGGAAAACACTAGTAGTTGATGAGACACTCAGTTGGGTGTTTCATTAACCAGTTGTAAAGAGCACTAACCATAAACGAAGAAAAGTGATAACTTTAAAACTGCTACTGATCAAAAGAATCACTATGCAAGGTGTAGCCTGATTTTGCGGACTGGGAAAAGATGTGTGCCACATATGTAAAGAAGCGTTACTAAATCGATATGAAAACGCAAATAACCAAATAGACAAATGGGTGAAAGATATCAACAGGTATTACAGAGAAAAAGGAAATATACGTGTGTGTGTGTGTGTGTGTGTGTGTGTGTGTGTGTAGGAGGGGGAGAACGCATGCTAATTAACATGTGAACAGATGCCGGATCTCATTCTCAAACAGGGAAATACAAATCAAGACCCCTGAAATATTATTTTATCCAACTGGCAAAAATCAAGAATGATATTACTGAGTGCTGGGGAAGACGTTCAACAGGAAATTCTGCTGGCGAGAGTATAAATCAGCACAACCACTTACTAAAGCAATGGCAAATTGTTTTCTAAAGTTAAACATGTACATGTTTTATGACCAGCTGTTCCACTCCTAGAGTAGTACCACTGGATATGTTAATGAGAGGACAAGGTTCAAAGCAGCACTGTTTACTACAGAAAGGACTGGAACCCACTCCAATGCCCACTAAAAGGAGAACGTAGGGCTTAGTCACATCATGGAATAGCAGACCCCAGAGGGAGAGGAAAAGAGCAACTCTGCATGATGTATGCATTTCCCCTGAGTCAAAAAGTCAGTCCTGAAAGACTACACACAGCATGACACTCACAAGTTCAAAGATCTAACATCTACTTCTTAAAAAGCAAAGAAATGATAAACATAAAATGTAGGAGTATTTACTTCAGGTTGAGGCGGGGGGCTGTACAGACAAGATAGGGAAAGCCAGACAAGTAGTTAAAAGTTCTGGCCAGTGTTCTTATTCTTAAACAAAACAAAACAAAATTGGTGGAATGTACGGTTTCCTTAGAAATTTAAAACATTATTAAAACATATAATTAACATGAATAAAGTAGATATATTATGAGAAATATCTCATGAACCAAGGATTATGAATTTATCTAATTCTATATAATTGGAGTCTATCAAAAATAAAACAAAGCAAAAGACTTAGCCCTTTTTAAAATCTGTCAAGGGCTCTCTATTCTATTAGGCCTCTTGTGTACTTTAAGCTCTGAGATCTAGCTGCTATCTCTAAGACAGACAGAGAGGAAAAGAAAGATAGGAAAGAAAGTAGGAAAGAAAGAAAAAAGAATTAAGGAAGAGGCTCCAACACTAAGTGATTCTAAAGCTAAGCCAAGCTCATCTGACAGTGACAAGTCATTCTTGAAGTTAGGATCCAAAACAAAGGCTCTGCAAACTCCTCCAAAACGATTACAGTACTTGCATATTTAGTTCCCTTCTTTCTTCTTCTGAAAAATTCCTAACTCTTTCGTTGTCCAACATGGCATCTGCTAGCCACACAAAGCTATTTAAACTAATTAAAATATAATAAAATTACAAATTCTGTTTCTCAGCCACATTAGTAGCAGGTCAAGTGCTCAAGACCTATGTGTGGCTAGTGGCCGGCCACTGTATAGTATCAGACAACAGAGCTGCAGAATGCTTCCATCACCTTGGAAGAGAAGGAGCAGAGGAATCTGTGCACGCATGCCCACACACACACAAACATGAGGCAGGGTGGAGAAGCCCTGGAGAGGCAAGGCATGGGCAGAGGGCATCACTGATGACTGCAGACAGGGGGCATCCCAGAGCACTGAGGGGCTGACTCTACCCATGGGGAGTCCCCCAAGCCTGCCAGAGCTTCAGACAGAGACCAAAAACCTGCAATCTTTTCAGCCCACCCTCAAGGTGGGGGTCCCTCACAACTCTCACCTAGGAGGGTGGGGACAAGTGTCTGTTAATATCCCTGCCCTAAATTCTGTTCCCTCCCTTCCCCTGAGCCCTCCTTCCCCTACTAGGACCCACCTTCCCCACCCTTCTGAGCTATTTTGTTCTGAAGCAGCACCCCTGGGGAAAATCAAAGAGGCCATTCTGAGAGGCGTCAAAGTGTTCACAAGAACGGCACAAGAATTCAAGGTGGCAAGGTTGCCATTCTTTTTGAAGAACTAGGGAAGGGATGGTGTAGTCCTTCTCCCTTCCACCCACCCCCTTGGAGGCAGGAGGCCCATCTTCAGAAGCAGGTCGCTGCCAGCAGGTCCTTTTCCTAACCAGCATCTATGTGGCCATCATCCCTTGCCCATCTCCTGCCATCAGTAAGGACCAATAACCAAGGACCATCACAGCAGAAAAGTGGCTTATCCACAGTTGAGGAAACTGAGGCCCAGGGAGAGGTAGGAACCTGCATAAGTTCACCTGGCAAGGAAGTAGCATATGGGATCAGGTCTGCCAACTTTCCTGGGTCCCATTCTTCCCATTGTGCCAGTCAGGGGCCTCTGTGGAGAGCTCTGAGTGCCTGTGTCTGTGCTCAGTACCCTTCCCCTCCTGACCATCTTCACCCCTCTGCTCTCCCACAGTCCCCAGCACAAAGTGGAACCCATCCTACCAAGCGGTGGGTGGAGGGAGGGGCCTGAATGAGGGGCCTGGGCCTGGCATGCAGCTGGGTTCAACAAGTTCAACCCTTTCCTAGAAGCCAGCCTGCCTCATAGCTCTAAGGAGCTTCCTGGCACAGATTTTAAAAGTTATTGGTAAGAGGCACAGCTGAGAGACAGTGCTTGACCCACTGTTCACTGATTGAGCAAGTCTGAGTGAGCACCAACGAAGTGTCATGCCCAGTTCTAGGTGCAGTAAGCAAAACCTGCCCCAGCAACCTGAGCTTTCGTATTAGTTAATGGATGAGACAGGTAAAAAGCCAAGCACATAACCCTATGACACAGTGCCAGGATGAGGCAAATGCTATGAAGAAAAACAAGTTAGGGTTAGGGAGTGGGGAAGGGGTTGTCATACTTTTTCTATGAAAGTCCAGATAGTCAGCATTTTCCACTTTGCCAGCCAGCTTCATGACACTGTCTTCGTTGTAACTATTCAACTTTGTAAAAGCAGCTGTGGGTAGCACATAAGTGAATGGGCCTGGCTATGTTCCAATAAAACTTTATTAGTGGACACCAAAGTTAGAATTGTATAGAGTTTTCACACAGTAGAAAATATTATTCTTCTTTGGAATACTTTTCCCTCATCATTTAGGAATATGAAAAACATTCTCAGCTTGCAAACCAGACAAAAACAGGTGGTGACCCAGATTTAGTCCAGGCTGACGCTGTGACAGAGTCTGGTGCATGTGGGGATGTACTTTAGACAGGATGGTCGAAGAAGGCCTCGTGGAGGAGATGACGTTTTGGCAGAGGCCTGGCGGAGGTCAAGCAGGGAGTACTGAGCTCCTTGCAAAGGGCACAGCACATGCAAAGGCCCAGTCATGTGACTGGAGAGGAAGCTGCGGCAGAGGGCCAGGTGTGAGGTCAGAAGTCAGCAGGAGCCAGGTCATGTGGGCTCCTGGAGAGGAATTTGGGCTCAATGTGATAACCAGCCACTGGGATCTTAGGCAAGTTATCCAACCTCTAAGCCTCATCTTCCTATCACATTTGAAATAATAATAGCACCAGTCTCAGAGGTGTTACAGGGCTAAGTGGGCATTATGCTCTGTCAGGGGTGACAGCCTCATCTTCCTATCACATTTGAAATAATAATAGCACCTGTCTCAGAGGTGTTACAGGCTAAGTGGGCATTATGCTCTGTCAGGGGTGTCCAACCTTTTTGCTTTTTTACCACACATTGGAAGAATAAGAGTTGTCTCAGGCCACACGTTAAATACACAAATACAACAGCTGATGAGTAAAAGAAAAGGTCAATGCTTACTTTTCATAGTATCTGAGACCACAGATAAGCAAAACAGTCCTCAAGTAATTTGCATTACATTAACACTGGAGTCCAGCTGGGAAGAGCAGTGACAACGTTTGTCCAACTCACCCACGATGTCTACCACATCTGGCCGGATGAGCGGCTCTCCACCTGTGAGCCGGATCTTGGTGACACCTTCCCTCACAAAGAGGCGGGCAAGGGTCAGTATCTCCTCTGTGGTCAGCAGGTCAGCCTTGGGGGTCAGAGGAACACCCTCCTCGGGCATGCAGTACTGACCTGAGGGAAGGACAGGGACATGAAGGTAGGTAGACCATGGGCACAGCAGACCTGTGATGCCCCAGCTCCCCCAAGTCTCCCTGAACTCCATCTGGACAGTAAGGAGAGACCTGACCAAATCCCAGGTGGTACAAATCCACCAGTATCCCTCGGGCCCTCATTTTTTTCATCTCTGCCCCCACCTGGTATAAGATCCCTCAGTCGAGGGCTGCAGACACAGGTTAAAGATGAGCTCGGCAGAACCTGGCCTGAGGCAGAGGGCACCAAGAGCTGATGCCCTCAGCCAAAGGGTGGCTGGGCAGGGCTCCCTGGGAAAGCCAGGGCCTGGGGCCTGTTCATCCTGGCACTGCTCCCCTTCCCTCATTTCCTCCAGCTGAGGCAGCAGTCACCTTTCTCTGCACAGGCCATGAGGTGAGAGCAATACTGTCCGGCCTGGCAAAGCTGTCTTCCTTTGCAGCTACAACCACCTACCTCGTTCAGCTTATCATTGGCCCCACTGTTTGGGTTGGAAAACTGAGGTGTTACTTGTTCAGGGTGAGGGGGCAGAATGGGGTACATGAGGTGAGCCACGGAGATGGAGGGTGCCATTCTTTACCAAGGCTTCTGTAGCACGGTTCTTTTCTTTCTTTCTTTCTTTTTTTAATATATCTGAACTTTTTATTTATTTATTTTGAGACAGAGTCTCACTTTGTCTCCCTGGGTAGAGTGCCGTGGTGTCACAGCTCACAGCAACCTCAAACTCCTGGGCTAAGTAACCGATTCTCTTGCCTCAGCCTCCTGAGTAGCTGGGACTATAGGCGTCCACCACAACACCTGGCTATTTTTTAGAGACAAGGTCTCGGTCTGGCTCAGGCTGATCTTGAACTCGTGAGCTCAGGCAATCCACCTGCCCCAGCCTCCCACAGAGTTAGGATTACAGGAGTGAGCCACTGCACCCAGCTGTAACAGTTTTATTAAGGACTGGGTCAACATCTGTCAGAGGGTCATGAAGTCAAATTAGTAATCTAGGTCCAGAATTGGTGTTTTGAGATTAAAGAGAATAAGTAGGAATATAAGTATGTATTACATACAGTATGTTTTGTTTGGTTAAACATTTCCTAAACAGATTTGTATCCATTTATTGAGCCATGCAGTAAACACATTTCTTATCATGAAGTACAACAGAAGGAAGGAAGGAAGGAGAGAGGGGAGAAGGGAGAGAGGGGAGAAAGGAAGGAGGGAAGAGGTGAAGGTGCAAGGCCCCCGGAATCCTTCTGGCTTGGGATTACAACTTGAGCACTGTTTATATCAGCCTGGCCTCAGCTGATGCATCATGGGACTGGACCGTCTCCATGGCCGGCAGCCCAGGGCACTGCTATGTACTGCATTTGTTTATAATGTCCACCCCCCAACACCCAGCCACGTGATGGTCTTTGGGAACTACAAGGAAAGAGGAAGAAGGAGCCCTGAAGAGTGAGAGGTCCAGGACCCAATCTCCCTAAACCCAATCGTGATTCTGTTCTCAAATCTAATCCCGAGTAGAACCCAGTTTCTACAATCATAAAACTCAACTCTGACCCGTCTTGCCCCTGAAGTTCACCTGACCTGACAAGCAAGACATGTGGGTGTGGAGGTTAGAAAGCAGAATAGGAGGGCTGGGGAGAATTCTGGGCATGGGGATTGAGAACTGCTTCAGCAGAGAGACAGCAGCCCAGAGAGGGCCCAGGCAGGCAACTCACATCTGAGATTGCACCTCTCCGTGAGGGAGATCCGCAGGTAGCTGTGCTGCCGGCCGAAGCTGTCAGTGAGGAAGGCGGAGAAGGGGGCTGCGTGCTCCCGCAGGAACTGCCTCCGTCTGGACAGCTCCTGCAAGGACAGGGAAGGGAGGAAGCTTGGGACCCTGCTACTGGGCTGGGGGGGAAGGCACGGGGAGAACTGAGATAGCCCCAGATACCAACTGCCCCCGCCCTCATGCCGACATCAGTACAGCACTTCTAACCTTTTCATAATCCTTAGGAAGCTGAGATTGTCCCTCTCATCTACAGAGGAGTAGGGCAGAAGGGAAGGACCCACACCCTGGGCACTCAGCTGAGGGTGTGAGATCTCCTGCTTGGCAGCAAGGTGGAGGGAGGGGCAAGGGGGAACTCTTTGTTCTTTATTCAGTCCTAATACTTCACACTATCTAGAGCCAGAAAGGATCACATACCTATTGTCTGGGGCCTAGACAGAAGGAGAATGCTACAGGATATAAGCAAGGCCCAAACCTGTCTTGGGGTGGACAAGGAGGGAGCCAACCTGAGACTCTTTCCACACCTGAGTCTGATCTGTCCTCCCTGCTCTCTCCTCCGTGGAGGGCACCACCCTGGATCCTGTCAGATGCTGATGAGATAATTGCTACAAGGAAGTAACATCTACCAAGTATTAAAGTTCCCAAAGAATGTTCTCTGCTCAATTCCCACACCCACCCCATAGGGATAAGTATAACTAAGGCTCTGATGAGGTATAAGAACACTCTCAGCAGAACCAAGATTGAAATCCATGTCTTCTGATATTAAGTTCCAAATTCTTTCCTCTGATTACACAGAGAATCCAAGAAGGTAGGCAGGATGATGACTAGGGTGCGGAGAAGTCACTTCTCTAGAACCTTTAGGACAAAGAAATCATAACCATCATCAACCATGAGACCTCCAAACAGGGCTCTGGACAGGGCCAGGTGTGACTGGCATCCTGGAAAGTTCCTTAACTTCTCCAAGACTATCTTCCCAGGCATAAAATAAGAACACAGTTATGAGCTAAGGTTGTCTTGCTAGGAGTAAAGGCGGGTGTTGCGGGGGATAAAAAGCTGGAAGGTTCTAAGATTATCATGATCTTCTTACAAGAGCAGAGGCCTTAGGCTCTTCTGAGGTCCAGGGTAAATTGCACACCTATGCCAGGAGAAAGAAACATTTACTTTGGTACATTACTCATCCCTGCCTGCACATTAGGACCCTCTAAGTGGGGAACCATTTAAGTTCCCATTGGGGAACTCAATATTCCCCAGAAGACCAAAGGAATCTAGATCTCTAGGGCAGTTGTTTCAGTCTCTATGATTCTAATTTGCAGCCAGGGTCAAGAGCAATTGATTAACTCAAAGATAGAAAGGGCACGAGTGAGAGTGTATGGGAGTACTTCCATGATTTTCCTGGGTTCATAAAACTTTCCTTAATCTACCCACCCAAGACCCCTTTCCCACTTCCTTGGAGAGACCCTGCTCTCATTCCCATGGGAAACAAGCAGCAATCACTTCTCTGAACTGCAGTCTGCTATAATCATAACAGTCATTTCCCCCCTCCCTGTGGTGTGACAGAGAAAGCTCAACCTCGCCCCTGCGTCCTCTCCACGGGTAGCCATGGTGGTGGGGCAGGGGCTGCTTCATAATCCAGAATCCCATTTGCTACTTGGAATCCAGATTTACTGTCACCCTCCTAGCTGAAGAGCTATTTGCAATTCAGTCATTGTCACTGCAGACTTTGCTGTTTCACTTGCCCAGATGCCACCTTCATCTTGACATATGGGGAGGGGTGAGGGAGGAGCCAAAATAAATCCAGGAAGTAGGAACACGTGAGAGGACCAAGGAGCATGACTCAGCAGAAACCCAAGAGCAAGCGGTGTGATGGAGCAATCCAGAACGGAAATGCCAAGGGAGAGGCTGCCCAGCTTTCGCTTTTGAGAACTTTTGTCAACTTATCTAGAGCCTTTCAGGCTGCACCTCCACTTCTGAACACCGCCTCCAAGACACACACACACACACACACACACACACCCCTCACCCCGCCAGCCATGCACTCTCACTACGTGGATATTACCAAGCCTCATCCTCACACCTTCTCTCCTCCAACACTGCATGCCCTACTTTCATTTTTCCATTTGTTTTCCCTGTTAAGTTCCTGGAGGGAAAAAATATCAGTACTAGTTAAAGAAGCCCAGGATGCAGGGGGAATATAGGACAGAGGAGACAGCAACAGTGCTCACTCAGGAAGGGCTGGAGCTGCTCACATTCCCAGTGCCCTCGCCTGGACCAGCCTGTTTTCTCTGTGTGAGAAGTCATCCTGTCTGACCTGGTAACCCCAGCATCTAGAACAGTATGTTGGAACCAAGTGTTGAACCACTGTGTCCATCAACAAATAGGCCTGGCTCTAATGTAAAGGTGTGCAAACCCACTTACACTGGGGAAGTCATTCATTTCCAGGTTGGTCTCTACCGTCAAATGGTTTAGCCCAGTGCAATGGTTCTCAACCCCAGCAGCTCATCAAAATCCCCTGAGGAACTTCTAAGGACGATGACAGAGCACCACTCTAAAGAGTCTGACTCCACTGAGTGCCCCAGCTTTCCACTGGACAGCCAGGGCTTGAAACCACTGGCCTTCTGACATCATAGGGTCAGGTGCCACTGTAATCCAGGTGTAGTTGTGGTTTTGAGCACCGGCTTGGGAGCAAGTGAACATGGATTACAAGCCTGCCTCTAGCTCTTGAACAAGTGGCCTAAGTCCTCTAAAGCCTGGTTTCCTTGTATCTGCAGTGGGAATACTAATCTTACCTAATTCTACTGCCTGAGACCCTGGCACACGGTAAGTGTTCAATAAGTGATCATGGAGAAACACTTCTGTGTGCTGTCACATTTTCCCACTATGTCAACTTCCAACCCTATAAAACCCTGGCCTTCCAAGCCTACTAATGACAGATGGCCTGAAGCTCCACCCAAAGTAGCACAAGTAAGGTCTCAGCTCTCCAGGGCTCCCAGTGCTAGTGCTACAAGCAGGCCCTGGACAGCCTGACGTATGCTACTGGCTATTACTTGTCTACCCAATGCAGATTGGGGGGATGGGGGGCATGGGGTGGGGAAGGGGGTGACCCTGCCTTCAGAGTAACCTCCCCTGATAGTCACTGGCCTTGGGCATCTGATTTGAATAATAAAGGCTTGCCCCCAAATAGCTGTAGAGTCTAGGCTGAGTAGCATCAGTGGCCCCAATTCACCTGCTATTGTGATGATACATACCAGGGTCCCGCCAAATTAATTTCTCTTAAATGAGAGGACCCAGTAAAGTGCTTAGCCCCAGACCTGGTTCTTCTCACCCTCCCCCCATTCCCACCTTAAGTGAGAGGTCTTTACACCTGTGGTTCCTGGCAACGATAGTCACACCTCACTGAAACACAGATTCTGAGGAGCTGAGCAGGTTAGAAGTCAAGATGATCCCCTGGAAAGTGCCGTTCCCCTCCTTTACCTCAATCCCTGTACCAGGTCCTGATGTGCTGCTCCCACCTCTCCCACACCCACGTCCTTCCAGCCTAATTCCCTAGCCAGCATTTGTTCTTTCTGGTCCCCTGAATGCCTGGGTGCCTTTGCCTTGTCCAGTCTCACCCTCTCCCTTGCCACAGGCAGCAACCCTTTGTTATTACCCCAACCAAGGCTGCATGGAGCCTGAGAGGCAGAAAGAGGGGTGCAGTGCTTCCAGGCTGAGCTCAGTTCTGCAGGGAAAATTGTATGGGCCTCCCAGTCAGGATGGCAGATTGCTGTGTCTCCCCCGCACCTCTCCACTGACCCCCACACCACCACATGCCCTTTCCACGTGCTCACCCTGTCCTCAGACCCAGCCCAAAGCCTCCTTTCCACTATCCTCACAGTCAGCTCCGCTCACACCTCACTTCTCTCACACCCACACCCTGAGACACCATGTGACTCCCCACTAGTTTGAGGTTCAAACAGCCAAAACTACTTGGTTTTTGTTTGTTTGAGACAGTCTCACTCTGTTGCCCAGACTAGAGTGCTGTAGCATCATAGCTCACAGCAACCTTAAACTCCTGGGCTCATCCCTGACTCAATTTCCCAAGTAGCTGGGACAATAGGCGCCCACCACCACTTCAGACTAGTTTTTCTATTTTTAGCAGAGACGGGGTCTCGCTTTGCTCAGGCTGTCTTGAACTCTTGAGCTTCAGCAATCCACTCACCTCAGCCTCCCAGAGTACTAGGATTATAGGTATGAGCCACTGCACTTGGCCTCTAAAACTACTTGTTGAGTCCACTGGCTGCACAACCTGTGTTGAGCACTGTGGGGGGAACACTTAGAAAGGCAGAGGAGCACCCACCCCTCAGGAGCTACCAGTCTGCTGGGGATAACACTAATGGAGATGTCCAGGTTGGAAGGCCTGTGATCAAACAGTTGGCAGAATGGCTATCCTGCATGTCCAAGTGGGAGGGAACTAACAGGACACAGCATGTGCCAGTGGCAGCACGGACAATAATAATAATCCCTGCCAGAATTTACATCAAATAGCATTTACATGTGCCAGGTTTTGTTCTTAGACATATGTTAACATGTATTCATTATTTTAATCCCTACAACACCCTACAAAGTAGACAGTGTTACCCCACTTTACAAATGAAAAAACTGAGGCACTGAGAGGTGAAGGGACTTGCTGAAGCTCATACATCTAATAAGGGGTAAGAGTAAAACACACCCCAGCATTTGCCCCAGATTCCATCATCTTCCTGCTCTGTTATACCTTCCCTTACAGTGTGAAGGGAAGGGTAGGGGCAGCCTCTGTCCCTGGTCAGCCCGTAGAGAGGAGGTGTAAGCACAGGCCGTAGAGCTGTGTTCCTGCTGCCCCGATTTCTGGCTCTGTGCTTTGAGGCAAGTTTCTTTTGATGTGCCACTTCACCTGAAAATACAGACCCTGCTCACCTCATACAACTTACTGTGAGGACTAAATGAGACCACTTAAGCACACAAGTACTTTCATGAAAAGTACACAATAAATGGGGATGGGAGTAGAGAAGAAACTTTCTTTTCTTAATTCTTTAAAGATTTCTCAGCCATTTTTGCCCTCCTATCATTTCCTCAATAAAACTTAGCATTCAAGGATACTAAAAAGTTCTACACTTCCTAGCAAAAGGGTCAGCTTATCTGAGGAATCCCAAATTAGGCAGAAGTCCTCCCCACCATTGAGCAATACAAGGAGGGGCAGCAGTGATCTAATGAATCCCCGGACATGAAGCTCAGTTCCGGGAGACAGGAAAAGAACGATAAGACAGGTCCAGAAAAGAGGTTTCCCTACATGCAGAGATGCTTTTCTCTCCAAATTACTCCGTAACCACACGTGCAAAAGAAAAGGAGCAAACTTAAAACTTCTTAAGACTTGAAGCACATGTGAGGGGTGCTGCCAAGGGCTGAGGGATCCTACCCCAAACCCTACAGAGATGTAGGAAGCTGTGACCTGGAAGAGGCCAAGTCCTGCTCTGTTCTGCTGTAGAAAGAGGCTGGACTCTCTTAAAGTTAATAAAAACGAAACAGAGTCAGCAAAGGATGAGTTACAGAGCCTTGTGGCTACAAAGTGACAGCCGACTGTTGGAAGCACAAAGGTGACATGTTTAGTCAGTCGCACTGTGAAGCAGGTGTCACAGAAACACTAGATCACACGCAGACACCTCCACTCAGGGGACAGGGAAGGAAAAATATTTAGGTAAGTGGTTGGGTGTCAGGCAGGGCTGAGGAGTGCTAATAAAACACTTCACTGGACCCCAAATGCCATTCCCCTGGTTGCCCCATTTCTGGCCAATGCTGAGACTTGGAAGCGGGTGGCATGGCTAGGGGCAGGGAGGTTTTGAAGCGAGTCTCAGAGGAACCCGCCTGCCGGGTGAGCGGGTGAGACTTGAGCAGGTTATCTGGGGCCCTTCACTCCACCCCGTGCAGAGCGCGGAGGGGTCCCTCCCAGAAGCGGCGCGCTGCGGCCGGGCCAGGGTGCTTCTCGGGGTAACCTGGCAGGGTGTGGATGTGGGTGGGTGGGGTGGGCTCACCGCGGCAGCTTGCGAGGGCTCCCCCGGGCAGGGCTGCGTCACCGGAGCCCCCGAGCTGCAGCTCCGGGCACTGGACCCCCAAACGCGCTGCAGCATCCGGGACAACAGCCGCGCCGCCATGAAGCCTGTGCGCAGGAGCGAGCCTCCGAGGGTAGCTGTGTCTTTAGGCGCTCACTACCCCAGTGTTCTCCCGGGTCAGCTCGGCCGGGGCAGGGGGCGGGACGAAGGCGGGGCCCGCGCAGCCAATCGGCGAGGGCGCCGCGCGGCCCTCTGGGAGCTGTAGTCCACTCCCTCTGCCCCTTTCCTGGGCTCTGTTAAGTGATCCAAGGCAGAAAGGTAAACTCGGGGGGCTGGCCAGGTCTTATCCTCCGGTGTCTCTGGCTACTCCTTTCTCCTATTTAGGTTGTGTTGTGACTAATACAAAGCACAGTAGGCTGGGCAGCGCCTGAGGCTCAAAGGAGTAGGGGTGGGTTCAAACCCAGCCCTGGTGAAACTGAAAAAAAAACAAAAAAACAAAAAAACAACAAACCGCACAGTAGGCAGGGCAGGAGTAGGGTCAGGCGAAGGAGCCTCGGGTATAGAATTTATGGGGAGGGGACCATGAAAACTTGGTTAAGAAGATAAGTAATATTTTAATGCAGTATTTCAAGAAAAATCAAAATCTATGTTTAAAAAATTCATGAAATATCAACATTTTAAATAAAAACAAGATCAATCCTGCACTTAAATGATTTAACTCACTCACTTCACCTTAGTCCAGACCCTGATTGTGGGACAGTCAGTTTTATCTTTCAAGGTGCTTGGTCCAGTTGTGACCCCAAAACACATTGACAATTTTGATCTCTCCATTCAAAAAAAGAGTATATAAGAAGAAGTCATAGAATAAGTGGATATCATTTTTTGAGTGCTTCCTACACACCGAGCACCATACTAAGCATCATTTAATACAACAACCCCCAAATGAATAGAATGTCCATTTTGCAACTGAGAAAATTGAGGGTAGAGAGGCCAGGTAATTTTCCTAAGGTCACACTGCTCAAAGGTGTCAAAACTGGGTTACAAACCCAGAATAGTCTGATTCCTGCAATTATATAGTCAAGATCCAATATGTGTTGGGAATGGTAGGATGTGCCTCTTTCTATTGAAAACTGAGAGCTGTAGTCCTCTGAGATTGGGAATGGTAACACACACTTCTAAAAAGGAAATAAAAGTCTCAGCACCGTTCCCCAATCTTTATGTGAAAGGGAAGGTAAAGGCCTTAGGCACCTCTGAAAAACTGGCCCCACATATCATTCATTAAGGAAATTCCTCACTGGCCTCTTATAAGCATGGACGCTTACATTTTAACTTAGGTTTGCAGACTATGTCTAGCTCCTAAACCAAAGTCTCTTAGATTCCACACTAATAATGAATTGCACATTTAGCTTCACAAGCAGCAGAACAGAAACAAGACAGGATCAAACATTCCTTCTACCTTCCCAGGGACATCTATATATAATTGATGCTTCCCCCATTTCTTTTTTTCTTTCTAACATTTGCCTTATATTATGCAAAATGTAGATTTTCCTCAGGAGTATGTAACCATCTATTTCACCATCCTCAACCCCGGCCTCCCCTCCCCCACCCCATATGTTTTTAAATGCTGAAACTTCCAAATTCCCCTTTGGAAAAACAGCCACAGTTTTGTCTGTGACTCATGTTTTTCCTGGGTATGTCCTCAACTTTAGCTTAATAAACCTCCATTGATTAAGATTTTTTGCCTCTGTCACTTATTTTGGGTCAGCACACTCAATAATGAACTAATGCACTAACAATCTTTATGCTCAAATCGCCTATCTTCCTTATTTAAAACTCTATCACTTGTGAAATTGCAAGAATCAAACACTGACCAGTACAGACTAGCTGCCAAGTGTATTTTAAGAAGTGAGGATATAGCTTCTGATCTTGAATGACAGACTAGTTGGGGAGGAAAGAATAAGGGACTTTTGCAAATTCAGCAACAGTATCCAAAGAGCTGAGATGATTTTAAGCCTTAGACTTAAGGTCAAGTCTCATGATGTTTCTCAAAGTTCAGACAATACATCATGGGAGATGCGGGTGTGTCTGGGTACCTTGGAAACTGGTGGGACAGGACAGATAGAAGTCTATTTGCACAGGCCCTGAAGACCCACTGAGGACTGTTTAAGCTCTGTTCAAGTTTAGGTATATATCTGGATTTATCAGAGGAACTAGGTGTGGGGATGGGAAAGACGAAAACCTGTGTGTGTGTGTGTGTGTGTGTGTGTTTGCAGGGTGGGAGGTTATGATACCTGAAGAGCCTTTTAGGAGAGGACACAATCTCAGGGATGAAGCCATCTGACATAATAGATTTAATCCAAAATGCCACCAACTACATGGAGCTTTTTTAGGTTCCACCATCTTTATACAAATTGTATATGATTTTTCTTTTCCTTCGGCCTTATTGTCACTTTTTATAGAACTTTGGATCTCTGGGCTGAGCAAGATCTTAAAGTTTAATCCATTTTGTTTGAAAGCTGAAATCCTGTGTGTCCTGAGTTGTGGCTCTCAAGAGACTGGATTGGTTCTTGGGGGGATGAATCAGTTCCCAGGCGAGTGGGTTGTTGGAAAGTCAAGACACCCCTTGAGTTTGGCTCTCTTGGCACATGCTTGCTTCCCCTTTGATTTTGTCCACCATGTTTTGACACAGCACAAGAGCCCTCACCAGAGTCTAAGCAGATGCCAGCACCCTGCTGCTTGTACAGGCTGCAGAACCATGAGCTAAATGTCCTTTTCTTCAAAATTATCCAGTCCCAGATATTTTTTGTATACCAACACAAAATGAACTAAGACAATCTGTATCCATTAGGATGGGATATACTGTACTGCTATAACAACCCTCCCCAACATCTCAATGGCTAAAAATCATGCGTGTTTATTTTCCCTTTGTGTTACGTGCTCAGCAAGAGTTAGGTGGGAACTCTGCTTCCCATCAGTGCCGTCCTCACTCTGGGGGCCAGGCTGATAGGGCAGCTAATATCCATATGGAGCACTGTGGTTACCAGTAGGGGAAGGATTGTGACAAAGAGCAAACTGGTTCTTAGAGCTTCCTTCTGGAAGTGCCACACATCACCTTTTGGAGCAAGTCATGTGACAGCATCAAACTTCAAAGGGAGGAGAGGCTTGGTCTTCCTGCAGAAAGGGGAAGCAACCTTGGTGGACAGTAACATAATCTACCATAGGAACACAATTCCACTGACTTTCTAAAGTGTCATCCAGCTTTCCCTTCTTCTGGACAATTCATTGATGTGTTTATTCCTTTTGTTCCCATTGCATACTGAAATCAGCCATGGAGGCCTCATGTGGCTGTGGATGTAGACATAGTCCTAGAGCCATGAATGCTGACTCCAGTATGCTCTGTTCGGAGTATGTCATCAGCAAAATAAAGAAGAAGAGAGTTGGTAAGACCACGTTAATGCAGCTGTTCTAAAAGTGTGGATTTCTGAGGTCAACAATATTTTCATAATAATGCTGAGACATTAATTGCCTTTTCCACTCTCATGCAGCTATGACCACATAAAGGGGTTTTCCACCCACTGCACAATGTATGCTTTTACCAGCGATTGAATGCAGAAGCAGCGATGAGAATCCAGCTGCCTTCTACTAAGCCAGACATGAAAGAAATTTGCAAAAATCTAACACATGCCAATTTTTTTTTTGCTTTGGAAAACAGTTATTTCCATAAAAGCGTATGCTAAAATGTAATAGGTATTATGTCATATTAACATTGTTATTTTTAAATAACAATTCATTTTTAAATGAATTAAATATTTTTAAAATTTCTCAATTTCTTTTTTTTTTTTTTTGAGACACAGTCTTACTTTGTCACCCTTGGTAGAGTGCCACTGCGTCATAGCATCACAGCAACCTCAAACTTGTGGGCTCAGGTGTGTCATAGCTCACAGCGACCTCAAACTTGTGGGCTCAGGTGATCCTCTTGCCTTAGTTTTTCATTTTTGGTAGAGATAAGGGAGTGTCACTCTTGCTCAGGCTGGGCTAGAACTCCTGAGCTCAAGTGATCCACCCACCTCAGCCTCCCAGAGTGCTAGATTTACGGAAGTGAGCCACCGCACCTGGCCTCGGTTTTAATTGCTAATATCATAACTATAAATAAATTGATATAGTAAGTGGAGAAAGTAGATATTAAATCTTTCAAGAGCTCTGTTGTACAACATAGAGATTACAATGACAACAATGTATTGGATTCCTGAAAATTGCTGAGAGAGTGGCTATTAAGTGTTCTTGCCACACAGGAAAGAATAGGAGGCAATGCATATGTTAATCAGCCTGATTTCACAATGTTTGCATATTTCAAAATAACATGCTGTACATAATAAATGCCTACAATTTTTGTCAATTGAAAGAAATTTTTAAAATATATGTTAAATAGATATAACACAAACAAATAAGCAAAAACTTTTGGGATCTTTAATATTTTGAGTATAAAGAGTTCCTGAGACAAAAAACTTGAGAATTGCTACCTTGATACATACTTCCTTGTCCTCTGGAGACCCAGAGGCCTTCTAATAGTCATTTATAACCATCTGTACCCACATCATCGTCTCCAAATTCTTAAAAAATAGAACAAACTTTGTTCCCCTGGGTTCCCAGAGTGGGCTGGTAGTTTTGCCATGGAGATGATGCCTCAGGGTTCTCACTAGGAAAACCAGTTTCAACAGGTGCCCTGCACTGGCCAGCAGCTCCACGCTTCCCAGTCAGTCGCTGCTATGTAGTTGCTCTCTGCTAGCTTAGGTTCTTCATTGACCAGAAATCAAAAACTGATCTTCAGCTGTTATGAAAATTAAATCATGTAATGCATAACAACCTCTGATTTTTTTTTTTTTTATTGTCTAGGGGCAGGGAGGGCTTTACTCATGCTATTGAAACTATCATTTTCCAGTTGAAAGAAATCAAAGAGATTGGTTCCTTTAAATGCATTGTGCTTCCAGGAGACCTTTAATTACAATTAGGTAACTCCCACGAGGGATTATTCTACTTATTTGCAGGTTCTTTATAAACTATGCATACCTCAGCTCAAATTAGTTTAGCTGTTTTCCAAGAAGTAGTAGCCAAGAGCAACAGAGGAAGATAGAGTAGGTATAATAATGAGT